ACGGCCCCTAGATTGCGTCGGCATCTTCCACACATATCAATTTTTGGTTTTGCCGATTTACTGCGTGCGAATCTTCACTTTCTCCTGCTGATGTGATTTGCGTGAGCTCTTAAATGTCAAGCTCTAGATCGTATATGGCAACGCTGTTTCAAAGAGATATACTTTTCATGCACACTATTGATCAAAAATTTATTTTCACTGTCAGTCTTTAACGGTTCGATAATACAGGAGACGTACCCGCGCATTAATACGCCTTGGGGCTTTCAAAAAGAAGCTACGTACTGCTACAACCTTGGAGGCCAATAAAAGTAATAGCTGGCAACGTGTGATCCTCTTTTTCATCAATTTTTTTCTTGACAAGCAGGGAAGGGTCCTCTCTGACAAAAGCATATACTGGGCTGGCAAACTATCAGAAGGATGTTCGACGTCGTAAAAGTAAAAGGGTTCGCCTCACTTTTAGAAAACTACCAAACCTTGCCCTGGTATCGTGAACATTTACGACATGGCACTCGCTCTATGCTTTAAAGGGCGGGATATAGCTCGTGACTTTGCTGGTACCGGATTCAGCAGGCAAGTAAGTGTAATCGGGGCTGTTAACAAAAAAACGCTATGTGATAAGCGCTGGACGCATCGTTAACGTTGTGCTTTGTACTTTCCAGAATATCGGAAATATTTTTCGCCGAAATAGAGTATAAAGTCGGAATAAGGCGATGTGCCGTCGATGTGCCTTCTTCTACTAGTAATCGAGTTGAGTCATTCTCTTCGGTGCTTCCTGAAAAGCTGAGAATTATAAGCACAACATTTCTGGAGGATCAGTATTTACCAACTGCAGCTAGTATGTGCTATAGGCGATACGTCTGGGAAATAAATGCTTGTGGTATTGAGAATGCATTCTTAGAGCGACCTTGAGCACAATTCTAACCCCCACTGAGCGAGGCCTGCGAGTAAGAGTCGTCGATGATTCAGCTGCATATCCTATACGCGACTTTGTCTTAAACGACTTCTTCAAAAGTCATTTCAGTTATTCTGCTTGGTATCGGCCCGCCAAGCCAGGATCAGCTTATAAATAATAGGTTTGACCTCGTCGTGTCTTCACGGGAGTCGGTAGGCGTCAGGCGGAGCTTAAAGGACGTAGAAATCTTAGAGAAACCCCTGGGACCAAACCAATTAGTCGTATATTCTTCGGTAAGATCGTAGTGCGCTCAACATCCGAGTGGCCGGTAAGAGCAGGGCCGTGATACGGCTTTGGCAACTCTATGCAGAACAAAAATATTCTTTCTGAAAACATGAGAGCGTGATTAGATTTGTTTGATCACGACTGTAAACTGTGCGATGTCGCCAGGTCGAGACTGAGCTTTAAAAGCAGAAAACGCTGCATGCTTGGATAGGCTAAATGCATTAAATTATTCACCCGCTACAATTTCGTCTTTGATGCGACTGCGTTTGGCTTCTACATTTTTCACTCGTACAGCTTTCGGCCACAGCGCTGCCTATTGACGATAGTCAAACTAATCCAGCAATTGAATCGCATCGACAAAATCGATTAAAACTAAAAGCGGAGCCACTTTGTGACGGCGTCAGATGAACCCGGAGTAAAGCATGCAAAAGGGTGAATTGCGCTTTCCTTTGCAAACTTGATTAGCCGCACCGCAGTCTCACCACACAAATTTTTCGAAGGATATTTTTTAGTGATGGGACTAACACATCTCGTCTGTAAATTTGAATGTTAATGAAACAAGTTCGACATAGCCAGATTAACTTCGAGCAACTCGACCGAATCTTGCCAAATTTTGCCGAATGAGCGGATCTGAATCCGAGAAGATGCTCATTGATAAGCCATACCGGCGAACAAAACATTCGAGAAACGCCATGGCTTGTCCTCACCGGAAGCGGTTTTGGTGACGGCAACAATCGCTTAAATGACCCACAGAGTCCACAATACCAGATTTTCTTCCGAAAGAGCAAACATGTTGGTCACAACGATGGAGCTTATATTCATCCGAGACTGGCATGCTAGCCAAAAGCCGTGGCGCTTACGGCGAGTGTGTAATTTGCTGACTCGCTTCACAAGCGTGATCATAACTGCATAACCATGGGTGCGAACGCGCACCCTATCGATTTGATAAAGCGACATACGATCTCTACGCCGCCTTACTTCTCAAATTTTAAAAGCGCAGCCCAAGCTACATCGGACTTGTAACTTGTATCTTTTGCCCCGTCAATGTATAACCTCAATTATCGTATATGCAGCATTTATAGTCCAAACGCGAAAGCGCATACGCTACCGCAACAAATGCCTTCACTAATACTTTTCCTGTAAAATAGATTTGGCATAAAAATACTGAATTGCCATTTGCTGCAAGATATGTGATGTGCGCTGTGCGCAACAGGCGTGATCTGAGTCGATCACAAATGGCTCCAAGCTTAGCAGGTGTACCCTAAATTTGACAGCAGCATACTTTATAGCAAGTAGCTCTTTGCCAGGAAGTCGGAAGTTCTTTTGTGACAGCCTTAACTGACGACCTTTAAACTCGACGGCGCGTTCATGCCCGTTGGAATTCGCTAAATGAAAAAACTTGGTGCCATCAAGGGTGACTCGGTGATCTCACGATCTTTCTAATTTGTGCACACATTAACTGAGAAAATCTTTTTGCAGGTGAAGACTCGCATACTAGAGAAATGATTATTGCAGTCCCCACATAAGCAAACAAACTTGTTCTGAAATCTCGAGAGACTTTAATTTCCGCACGATGGGCGGGTCACACGGTCCGTGGTATAGTAATACCATGACAGGAATGGAGAGCCGTAAAAATTCAGGAAATAAACCGCTCTATGTATAAAGTTGGATTCATGCCCCACTCAGGGAGAAGCGCGTGGCACCTAGCGTTTTCTCTTTCGGTTGATCTATATATCATGGCTTTCAAATCACACCATATATGTGATAGGATCATATAGTGAAATCAGATTCGCGAAGGCATCATTCTTTCTTGAAATGCTCAACTTTTTGATGATGCAACAGAACCTACGCAGCATTTACATTTGTGCCCATCGCAAGATGAGCAACAGAACCTACGCAGCATTTACATGTGTCCCCATCGCAAGATGAGCTGATAGTATATATCTAGCATCTAAAATGCCTCTACCTGCTGTGGTTTATCCTTGACGGTGCGTGACGTATCTAATTACACGATGCTGGGGATTTGCCAAGACTTTTACGAACTTACAAGGCCCTGGAGTTAATGTTAACGGTCAGCAACCCGAGCTGTAAGGTCAATGTCTCGTAGTAAGTGTCGCTTCATTCTGAGCTGGTTTCCACCTTCATAGGCTCCCACAAAGAAGCTTCAGCTCTGTACCAGTAAGATGACCTGTTCATAGCAAATCTTAGAGTGTTTCGAGTGCATTTTGGTCGATCTTGTATGGAAATTCAATGGTTCATATCTCAGCTGAAAGAGAAGAGACCCAGAGAGAAAAAAAAGGTAACTGCCACACATGTAACATTTGAAAATACCACTGTACAGCTCGTAACTTGGAGAAAGCTATATCCGTTTGTCATTGCCTCTGGTGGGCTCGTAAGCTGCAAGCCTACCAGCTCACGCGGCTACAAGCAGATTGATGCAAATCCCATCACAACCTTAAGAGCAGGTAGAGTCTCGATTCAATCTGCGCCATATTGGAGACCCTCCTTGAAGCTGGTATTTGTAAGTGCTACCGTGTCCAGGAGAGTACCTGCCTCCATAGGAGTGATGAGAATCATCATTTGAGCAAAGCTCGTTAATACTTGCGTTCTTATATCGATACATAAACATTTGAATTGCAAAAGATACACCTAGTTGACTTAATCAAACCTTCGCAATAATTTGATCCTTAACACTTCTAATCGAGAATGCCGTCGGCCTCGCGCGTTAGTGACAATTTACATTTGCGACCTTATCACCTATAGATCAAACGAATGATGCGCTTATGCTTCGTCTGACGCAAATTAGTTTTCTTACGAATCTAACCTCTATTCTCCTGGAGAAAATATTTACTTGGTACTACCCTTAAAGGTTATACACATTATCTACAGCCACAAGCGAGGGTGGCTGATCCGGAGGTATCTCACTGGCGAATTCTCTTATACGTACATTATACGCAATACGTGATTTAATATATCGTTGGATAGGTGGCCTTCAAAACTGAAAAGGAAATGTAATTTGTGCTTCGGTTCTAGCCTTGGAACTAATTTCGTCTTTTGTGGCGCTTGATACTGCGGCTCATACTGTCCTTACTTGAAGGAATACAAATCGGCATACAAGCTTCATTACGTTGAAACTTTGTCGGCTTATATTGGGTGGAATAATCTTGCAGTGTATGATCTCAGTAGGTCGTGCTGCAATCTACACCAGCCCAGTCACCCTTACTCTCGCACGGATTGACAGGCAGTTAGCGCTAGTCGTTAAATATATATTTTTTAAAACGTTTGAAGCCTGGTCGGCCATATGTTGCGGCGTACGTTCGTTTGCATCGACAGCACTTCCAATTGTTGCATGAGTCCAAAAGTGAGCTAGCGAATCGATGATATGATATGTACCATGTATTGTACTGTTGATTTTCTGAAATCTATAAGACGTATAAGATCCGATATCGCTTTTAAGCTAGAGCTGCACATTTACACAGCTATTTCTTGAAATAAATTTGGTATTTATTCGCTAGACGCACGCAAGAAATTTTATCTATGAAGCCTGCAAACTCCTTCAAAAGGTCGTTTTGGGCATATGAATTATTCAGCTCTCTGTACTGGCGGCCGAACATGAAAAAAGGTAGATGTTTATCCGTGCATGTTTGCAACGTGTCAGCAACTTTCTGCGCAAAGTTACTGACAGTCTATTTGCGTCAGCTCTCATGAGTACGTCAAAGACCGCGTTCGGAAACATCGAGGTGAGTCGGCCTAACAAATCTTATACGTCGTGCATATACGTGCGACGTGCGACTGTCGAAGAAATAGAGGCAATGGAGAAACCAAGTATAAAATTGTGCATCTCGCGATAGTAAATTGGTAGAAATGTCGATAACCGTGGCAAAATTTAAAGTTGAGTTTGATACTTGGAGAGAGCAAAGAATTGTCTAGTCCCATACCTGGATACGACATACAATATCAGCCTGGGTATGTTGTGGCTAGGATGCCACGAGCCATAGGCCGACTGAAGATCGAGAAAGTTAGGTGCCGAGCATTTCCTAGTTTGGGCGAGTGATGAGCTCGCCCCCGCCAAAAAAGCCAAATCACTTTTCGCGAGGCTGCATTCCTCAGTATTTTCCGTGCAAAACATTATTTTGACCAAATATTTTGGAAATAGATTTGCCAGGTAGTTCGAGCACAAAGAAATAAAAGGCCAAAGTGATAGTGAGCGAACCGGTAAACCTGTGCTAATTGAACCATTAACTAAGTAACAGGTGTCTTTGCGTTAGTAAAATGGCTAGGCCTTAAAGATAGACAGGATATTTCATCGTATCTGGTGATGTGACGGTACTGCTGAGTCAGCACACCATATGACTGGTCAGCGTGCGGGGGGATGAAGCTCGCAAGAATCAGTATAAATTTAAGAATGAAGTGACCGTTGTCACTTTATGGGCTTTGATTCCCCCCACTACCTCTGAAAGAGTTGGAGAGGGTATTCGGGGATATGGTCAACGATATTCAAGATGGCGAGATTACTGAAATGACACAGTTACTACAGGAAGAGAAGCTGAGCTCGTCATTAATGAATCTGTCATTGCGGATACTCGAAAGACATGCTTGAGGAGTGAAATATCCTTCCTTAAGAATCGTGAAGGTCCTTTCTAACTTTTGTCAGAGGCACCCTGACGTGTTGTCAGAAGATCTACCATGCAATTAATACGGTGTAAATGCCATTTTATTGAGAAGATTGGTA